AAAGAAAAACTAAGACTGTGATATTCACCATATATATTTTTTCCAGTCTTTTTTTTTTTTTTTTAAATCAAGAATCAAACTCAAGACCTTGTGCTTGCCAAGCAGGTACTGTGCCTCTGAACTATACCCCTGGCCCTCAATCAGATTTTTTTTTTTTTTTTTTTTTTTGCAAAACCGGGGATTGAACTCAGGCCCTTGCACTTGCCAGGGAAGCACTTGTTCCACTGAGCTATCTCCCGGCCCCTCAATCAGATTTTTTATTCTTTCTTTCATTCCTTTTTTCTCACTATGCAGTTCAGGCTGGCCTTGAGCACCTTTGTAGCCCAGGCTGGTCTTGAACTTGAAATGATCCTCCTGCCTCAGCCTCCCATGTGCTGGGATAAAAGGCATGCCCTACCATGTCGATTTCAATCAGATTTTATTTTATTTTTTTACTTTTTGGCAGGACCGTTGAACTCAGGCCCTTTCACTTGCCAGAGAAGCGCTTATTCCACTGAGCCATCTCCCCGCCCCCAATCAGATTTTATTGATACATTTTATTTTGCTTTTCCAGTCAGATTTTATTGGCATGTTTTACATATACATAATGATCACATTCATCATAGAGAATTTGTCCCTGTACGTGATATAACTTGATTCTTTTTCCCCCATTCCCCTCCCCTCCCTTCAACCCCTCCTTTTTCCCCATTCACAAAAGCTTTGTTTCCATTTTTCCTTTTCCTTTTTTTTGTCCTTTTCATCTGTATTTAACTTTCCTCTCTTTCCTTTCTCTTGTTTCCCTCCCCATTTCAATATTTTCTTCCTATTTCACGATACCTATTATACATTTTGGTCCTTATTTACACTTTCATTTTCTCCAATTTATTTTACTGAAAAGTATGGCCGCAAGGTGCACCCATTTTCCTAGAAATGGCTCAAGCTTATCCTTTTTTTTTTTTAAAGTTTTTTTTTAACATTTATTTAGTGTGTGTGTGTGTGTGTGTGTGTGTGTGTGTGTGTAGCCAGCTCAGCCCACCAGGGTGCAAGGCTGGCTGGCATAAGCTTATCCTTTATGGTGGAGTATTATTCCACTGTATTAAAAAAAAAAAATCACATCTTAGTTATCCATTCGCCAGCTGATGAATATTTGGGTTGTTATTGAATGGTTTGGCTATTACAAATTGTCCCACTTGGGGCTGGGGAGATGGCTCAGTGGAATAAACACTTCCCTGGCAAGCACAAGGGCCTGAGTTCAATCCCTGGTTCCACCAAAAAATCAACCAAACAAACAAAAAAAATTGTCCCGCTATAAACATGGGTGTGCACATATCGCTGTGGTATGATGCTTTTAATTTGTTCAGGAAGATATCAAGAAGGGGAGTGGCTGGGTCAAACAGAACCTCTAGTACTATGTTGTTTTTTTTTTTTTTGAGGAACCCTCACACTGATTTCCACAGTGGGTGCACCAGTGTACACTCCCACCAACAGTGGAGAAAGGTTCCTGTTACCCACAACCCTGCCAGCATTTGTTATTGTTGATTTCTTAATAATAGCCATTCTTTCTGGGGTGAGACAGAATCTCAGTGTTGCTTTAATTTGTATCTCTTGAATGACCAGTCAGGCTGAACATTTTTTCATATATTTATTTGCTGTTTGTACTACTTCATCTGAGGAGCATGTATTCATCTGAGATGCCCATTTTTGGGTTGGGTCTTTAAATTTGAGGGGATCTAATTTTTTGAATTATTTGTATATTCTCAATAGTAATCCTTTGGGGGGACAGCTCTGGTCATGGTTTCTCTTGCTGTGCAAAAGCTTTATAATAAAATGAGATTCCAGTTGTGATCAGGGTTTTGCTGATAGTCTTTGCTTACACCGATGTCTTCAAGAGTTTTATTTAGGGCCAGGGAGATGGCTCAGTGGAATAAGCACTTCCCTGGCAAGCACAAGGGCCTGAGTTCAATCCCCAGATCCACCCCCCCAAAAAAAGAGTTTTATTTAGTCTAAATTCCAGCAGCTTTAATATTTGTTTTAATATTTAGATATTTGATCCATTTTTTTAAAAATATTTATTTATTTATTTATTTATTTATTTATTTATTTATTTGGTACAGGGTCTCACTATACAGCTGGGACTCCTACTGATCCTTCTGTCTCAGCTGACCCAGAGCTGGTATTCTTTTTTTTTTTTTTTTTTGCAGAACCTGGGATTGAACTCAGGCCCTTGCGCTTGCCAGGGAAGTACTTATTCCACTGAGCCATCTCCCCAGCCCCCAGTGCTGGTATTATAGGTGTGTGCCACCATGCCCAGCTTCAGTGGCCAGCACAGCGTGTCCAGGTTCTGAGGCCGTC